CTCCCTCCCTCCCTTCCATTCTCTCTGAAAAGCAATGGAAAAAAATATCCTCAAGTGAGGATAAAAAAAGAAAAGTAGAAGTGTGGATTTTTATGTGAACATACCTGATGTTAAAATGTTGACTCAAACGTCTACAAAGTTTGGAGTGCGGCACCCCAAATATACCTCTGCTAGTTAACAACAGCCTGGGGCTTTCAATTTGTGTCTGTTATACAAAGTTTGTCGTGAATGTCATGTTGGCAGTTTTAGGACATAGTTTCTATTGTGAACTTGGATTATAAAGAGGGATATTTTGTCTTTAAAAGAAAGTGAGGTCATAAGAAACAGAGGTGTCTCAAGCTTTTACTTGATGTAACTCTGGGTAGGGATATTTCTTTCAAATGGGCAGTCATTTTATTCAGACTGGAAGAAGACAGTCATGGAGATAGATATCCTCCAAACAGGTTCCCTTATAGCTATAAAATAAGATAATACACAGAAAGGGCTGAACGCGCCTGGGCAAGCATGAGGTGTAGTGATGCCTGTCCAGCTGTCTGCTCTATTCTTAGAGGAGGGAGCAGGAAGCTTAGAGGAACAACACACCTTTCTGATGCCAAGAAATGAAAAGATCAAGTTAAAATCTATTGGCTATCAGGGAAGGAATCTCTTGGCACTCAAGGGCCTTGAACATCCAGAACAAGAGTGACTAAACTTTTGAAGAGTCTTTGCTAGAGGAAATTGAGATTTGGCATCTTCTATGCTGGACTTGCAGGTCGAACCTAGAATGTGGGTGAAGATCCTGCCAGCTTCTAAATCAATGGTTCCCAAATTGTTGTTTCCTGACCAGCAGCCTTAGCATCACCTGGAAACTTGCAAATTATTTTGGGCCCCACCCCAGAACTAATAAATGAGAAATCTTGGGAGTGGGGTCCAGTCATCTGTGTTTTAACAATCCCTCAGGTATTCTGATATTCAGCTAAAGTTGGAGAACCACTGTTCTTAGGCATGTGTAATGCTGTGCAACAAATTTCTCAGAATGCTTAGTGAAAATATTGGCTTGGGGTTAGTCAAAGAAGGTCATGGAAGAAGGGGAATTTGAAGCAGAACTTAGAAAGGCTGTTAGGTGAACCAGCAAGTGCATTGGATCAGGTGACTGGAGTTCTAGGCTTTGACTCAGCTTCCTCCTGTGCCAAATGAGGATGATAATGTCTGTCCTGCTTACACCACTGATCAAATGTTTATGTACCCCCAAATTCATATGTTAGAAATCCATATAAGCAAGATGATGGTATTAGGAGGTGGGGCCTTTGGGAGGCAATTAAGTTGCGAGGTCTGAGCTCTCAAATGGAATTAGCGCTGTTAGAGAAGAGGCCCCTTAACCCCTTCACCACGTGAAGATGGCAGAAGATGCTGTCTAGGAAGCAAGAAGTGGGCCTTCACCAAACATTGAATCTTCTGGCCCCTTGATACTGGACTTCCCAGCCTCCAATCGGTGGAAAATAAATTTCTATTGCTTATAAGCTACCCAGTCTGTGGTGTTTTGTTAAAGCAGCCCAAATAGACAAAGACAGATTTTTCTTCACAGACTTGTTGTGGGAAACAAATGTGTAAAATGTGTGGCAATCTATAGTGTCTTCAAACATGTGTTACCTGCTACTGTTTTTGGTACCACACTGCCCTTAGGAGATGCTCTTCAGCTTAGCTTTCTCAAGCAGTGTCAAGTTTGTGAACTTATCCCATTGGCCTTTTACATTCTTAGGCCCTTCTGAAATCTTTCTGGAAATGCTTCAGCATGAATTTATGGTAGCTCTGGTTCATTTTTAAGCAATTTTGATTTATTTTGAAAATGAAGTTATATCTCTCCAGGAAATTCTGTCTTCTTTTTTAAAATACTCAGTTCTTATCATCTCAGAAAATCTAGAAAATTCATTTTAAAATATGTTAATATTCTGTGTATGAATATTGTGTTCATTATTGAGTGCTGTGCTGATAGTCACTTTATTTCCATTCAGCTCTAAATTTACCTTTCGTTATATACTCAGTGATAATGGATGGAATTCCTCATTATTTCTCCTTTAAAGTGAACACAATGTAAAGCTTTTACAGTAGGGGGCCTTGGAGAGACACTGCAGGAAGAGGGGCTCTCCTGCATTTACCAGCTACTGCTTGGTAGGTCAGCAGAGTGGGTGTGAAGGCGTACTGCATGTGGAATGCTGTCCCAGCCATGTGCCCAGAGCTCATGGGCACTCGGTGACCTTGCCGCCTCAGCCTGGCGGTGACCTTTTCATAGTCCTCTTGTTATGGGAAGTGGCACTCCAAAGGCTTCCTGATCCTCCTGGTGCCCATCTCCTCTATAGACCCTCACCTGGCCTGTGCCTAGTCCACCTGCTGACCCGAGGTTTCCACTGAGCCTCACTCTCTGTGCAGGCCTCTGCCTGAGGCCTAGAGGGTAGCTCCAGCTTGTCCAGTAACGGCAGACCAGCTCTGGCCCAGACAAACCAGAGATTTTCTCTGCTACCCAAGGAGCTAAACTACACCTTCCTCAGTGAGGTCTGCATTCCAGTCAGGGAAGTTTCTTCTTCCTTGGATAGTCCCCTTCAGCCCTAGAGTTCCATGTAGGGCTTTCTCGTATCTAATAATAATTTTCCTATTATAGTTTATAATTCAGCTTCTCTGTTTAGCTTACTGTGTGGTTTCTATTTCCTGATTGGACTCAAATGGATACATGTACATAGGAATTGGAACTTTTCAGACCTTACTTGAATTTGCTTTTGCTTTTCAGTTTATGGCATGGAGTTGACCCACTCTGCTGTGTAGTGTAGCTCTTCCTCCAAGAGCTTAGATTTGATGATGTTCTTTGCCAAAACCATTCTCACTTTTAATTCTCACTTTCTCCTTTTAGTCACTGCGGTCTCTGTTGTTTAGGATGTAAATGAGAGGAGTGCTGTTAATAGTTAAGCCGGGACCAGTGTGAACTGGGACCGGCTCAGACAAGCTTTCTGTTGGTTATTTTCTGTTTGTGCTGTGCAATGGCTCAGCCCTGGCTCTTCTGGACTTCCTTTGGGCCAGACCTCTACTCTCAGGCCACACATATTTTCTCATTCTCACATCCCACTCCCAGATTCTCTTGTCCCTTTGAGCTTTCTTTATCGTCTGTGTTCATGATCATCTCTTATTTCCAACTTGGTTCCCGCTCTGAGATCTGGCAATGGGAAAGCTCTGCTCTTTTCAACTTATTTTATTTAACTCTGTCTGAGTCTTGGCAAGACTTGTAGCTTTCTTGATCTTACTGAGCCAGCATTTTCTTGAGCTCTTACTGAGCTTCCACATTTTTGTCTCCCTGCATTTCACCCTGCAGATAACATTTTTGCTTTTTTTTTAGTAAAAATTTAGAGTTATCCAGTAGTGAAACTTTCATCTTTCCTCCTTTCCTGACTCAAAGGGTGATTTTCTGCTCATCTCATCTTCAGAAGAGATGTTCATCTTTGCTAAGCCTCACCTTTCCAGCTGGGCTTTTCTGGCATAGATTTGGAGCTTATGCCCAATGTCTCACCACCCAGAATCTCCTTACCTTTTGCGTTCTAGTACTCCAAGATTGCCCTTGAAGTTAAGAAAAGAATAGCCCTAGCCAGTTTAGCTCAGTGGTTAGAGCATCGGCCTTTGGACTGAAGGGTCCGGGGTTTGATTCCGGTCAAGGGCGCTGTGCTTCGGCTGCCAGCTCGATTCCCTGCCCTGGTTGAGGTGCATGCAGGAGGCAACCAATCCGTGTGTCTCTTTCACATCGATGTTTCTCTCTCTCTCCCCCCCCATTCTTCTCTCTCTGAAAAGCAATAGAAAAAATATCTTCAGGTGAGGGTTAAAAAAAAGAGAAAAAACAAGAGAAAGAAATAAAAAGACAGAGGATAAAACCTAAAACAAACCCAAAAAATTCCAAAAACCTTTGCCAGACCCAGTTTCCCTTTTGAAGCACAATACTGTTTCCCCGCCTTCATTGAAAACACACATGATGGGGTTGCTGCTTCCTCACCATGCACCCACTCTTGCCATTTGTTTTCTGCACCTATCTGTGTTCAGACTCTCCTTATTTCTCCCTTAGGCTGTGGCAGGGCCTTTTCTTTCTTTAGTCCCTTTACACAACACTGCTGTATTAATCTTCATAAACACACGTCATTTCTTTTTATGAGTCTTCCTTGGCTCTCCTTTGCCTGACTGATAAAAGCCAGAGTCCTTAGGTGTGCATTTGCAGTTGTTATGCTCCAGTGACAACCTATTTTCCACTTATTATTCCATAAATAATACTATTAATAATAATACTCTTTCCTATTTTTTTGTTTATCTCTTTGTATGATGGTATCCCACCCTTCTTCAAGAT